TTGTGTGTATGATATATATGTAACCTACTAGACAATGATCATAACAGAGAAGCAAGAAAGCCTGAGTTGCCAAGGCATTGTTTATTTAACTACTATTATAGCATCCACTTTTCTGTTCTATCTAGAACCAAACTCAGCTCTGATCCTACATTACTGCTCTTCCCAAGCACAGTGAAGCAAAATCCATTTCCTTGCTGCATGAGTACGATACAAATTGTCTGATGATATGGAACAAAGTACACAGCTTGTGGAGTAAACTTGCCTTATCTATCTATCTATCTATCTATCTATCTATCTATCTATCTATCTATCTATCTATCATCTATCTATCTATCTATCTTCCCTAGGGTATTAAAAGCTGTAAAGACAATGTTTGGCAGCAATAATCCGAGTAAGAGATGCCTCTTTAGCTGTAGGAATGATTAAATCTGTTACTTAAAATCTGTTATGTGGACAAGTACATGAGTAGAAAGTGAATAATTAAGATTTCTGATATAAGAAAGCAACATTCCAACATAACACATATGATTCAGGAACAGTGTAAGATACACAGTAGAGTGTTAGAAATGGATGAAACCAGCAGAAGAGGAATACAAACCACAGAGCATAGTCTTTGAATTATTACCTAAGGATAAAATAATATAAAAGCTTTGCTGAATGTCACTTATTATCTGTTTTTTAAAATTATGGTTGTTAACTATACCATAAAGTCTACACCACTCTTATCTTCATGATTTCCTGACTCATACTCGTGATGTGCCTCTTTTAGGAAATACTACAGCACATATACTATAGTAGTTAATATAGTGTAGTATATTAAGATCTGGGAAAAAATTATATCTGATCTAACTACTTCGATCAAGATTCTTGAATCAGAGTGGACAAAATCAGATTCCACAGCATTCCTTTACAGACTGGCTGAAACAGGGCCCATCTTTCCTTGGATGAACTAAATGTATCTATGCCTACATGTCAGCCATTAGGCATGACTTTCAAAATTCAGTGTTAGTTAATTTTGGCCAGAAAAATGCTTTATTTGGGAATAGCAAACATTAATAATAAGGTGGGTAAACATGGATGAGAACTATTTTTCCACAGAAGATATAGGGCATTCAAAAGAGAGAAAAAGATGTATGTGTATGAAAGCATTAAGATTAATTTGCTGCAATGACTACTAAGCTATAGCAGAAAGCTTCAGAAAATAAACTGAAAGGTAAATAAGTTAAGGTCATGTATGTACTTTTGTTTCTTAAGGTTTGCACTTTATCTGGCAGATCAATTATTTTAAAACTTTTGTTTGAAACAGGAGAACTGTTTTTTGTTTAGAATAGGAGAGATTTTTGGAGTAGATATTATTACTTATTCACTCTCTTTCATGCCCTCTATATCCCTGTCGTAGTTTCGCTATGGGCTGAGTATGTTTCTTTATTATGTGACATCATAGGCCAATGTCATTTAAGTACATAGGATCTGAGCAGACTCTGAAATGTGCTTGTATTATTTGACCTGTCTTGTTGCTTCCGCATGCTTCATGAAGAAAGGGGCCAGAAACAGCCACTCAAGTAAGAAAGACATGTGGAGAAAACCTCAAGTAGCTGCAGCAAAAAACCGCCTGAACCAATCCAAAGACCTATTGACAAGAAAAGTAAATGTTTGCCATTGTAAAATACTGACATTTGGAAGATGTTCATTACATGGCATAATCACAGTAAATGGTGACCTTTTCTTTAAATATATTTTTAGCTGTGCCAAACAAATTTATAAAAGCAGAATTATTATAGTTGATTGGGTATGAGAGACTCAAAGCACAGCATGAGTTAGCTTCTTTTTTGCCTGTTCTTGGTGGCTTTGGTTTGAAAAGAAGTTCAAGTTATGTGGGAGTACGAAAGGATTTTAGGTGGAGGAGTAATCTGATCAGATTTCTGCATGTTCATATGTGTGCATGTTTTAAGTCTAGCCTAGCAGCAAGACGGTAAGTAGAAGAGGAGGAGACCATGGAAGAAAAACAGATGCTAAAGATCAAACCGAGTAGTGGGAGAAAGACAGAGAAATTTATTGGAGTAGCTGATGTGACTAGAAGATCAACTGGAAAAGGGTCTGAGGAACGGTGCCCCCAATATTAATGTATGGATTTAAAACAACAAAGATCTAACATTTCTACCTTTTGTTTTAAGTCACTTGTCAGGCAGAACAATGAGGTAAGTAACTGAGCTTCACATAGTGGTAGATGAGCACAAATATAACACGTGACACATGAGGAACATTGGACAAAATGATGAAAACCTGATAGGCAGGAAATATTCATAAATTATACATCATTTGGTTTCCTTCTTATTTAAATTTCAATCAGAATAAGAATGCAGACTATGATGACGATGAGAACTGTTTTAAAATCATGACTTCTCTAAGTAAGGAAATTATAAAGCCATCAGCCTGACAGACTGAAATGAGAAACTATCAGAGAATTTTGAAAAATAAAGAAAATTGCAGTTTTAATTGTCAAAATAGTAGAAAAGAACATGAGTTCCAGCATGAAATAAAATGGTAGCTAAAGGGAAGATAATATACAGTGGTATAGACCCTTTGGTTTCCATGGCCTCTCCACAACTACCGTTTGAAGCAATCAGGATCCTCACACATGTCAATCTCTCAGGAATCATGTGTAAGTCAAGTGAGAGTCTGAGCAGTGGCCGCCATATGGAAACAATAACAGGTCAAAGAGGAATTGGAGACAAGTGCTCCTGCTCAGGAAGATCTCAGTGGAGGCCAAAGGGTTTAATCGTCTGGTTCCCTAATTTATCTTCTCATAACAGCACCCTCAGATCTTGATGGTGAATCAGAGCACTAAGCATCACTTCAAGAAAGTAAGTGCTTAGCCATGGATCACAGGCAAGGTCTGCTTTGATGCCCAGGGCTTGCAGACTGGTGAATTGGAAGCTTGAAGTTTCCACATTGAAGGAAACAACTTTGATATAAGCCTTGGGGCTGAAATATCAAGAAAGGACTTCTAAGAATCAATTGATGATAAAAGCTCTACCCTGTTTTAACTTACTTTTGTGTATGTGAAAAGAATAGTACCAATTATTCTGTTTGCGAAGCTGGTTGCTTGTTCCTAGTGGCAGGCTACCCATACTTCATAGTGAAAGGATGCTAGACAGAGAAGTATCAAATTAAAGCTTTAATGTAAGGAAAAAATATCAAGAACCTTAGAACCTTCAGAAAATATTCCCACTTAAACAATATCAGATGGAATAGAAAGTATAAATATTCAGCTGCTTTAGTAAATGTGTAAATAATAAGGTCAGAGGTTCTTTCCTATTAAATAGGATGAACTAATGCAAATAGTTGCAAGTAATGAGAATATCCAAAATAAAGCTTATTGCACTTAAAATTCAGAAGGAAGTAAAAAAATATGAGGTCATGGGTAAATGTGAGAATATGTAAGGTTTGTAGTTACTGAAAAAGTTATTGCAATATAAGACACCTCAGTGCAGAAAAAAATGTCAAGAAACTAAGTGATCATAATATTGGAACAATCAGATATTAACAGGTAATTCACAGAAAAAAATATAAATAGCCTTTAAACATATGAAAAGGTGTTCAATTTCCTTTAGATTATAGAAATTAAAATTAAAACTATTATGAGTATAAAGATGTTCCATATTTTATCTACAAGGCTGTCATAAGCCAAAAGACTTACCACACAGACTTTGCTGGCAAACCATACTCTCATATAATTCTTGTGGAAATAAAAATAATTTTCTATTAAATCAAACAAAATTTATAAGGAGAGAGAGGCCTTATGAGGGCTGTATGAACCAATGATGGCCATGAACTAAAGAGAATGATTAGCAATGCACCTAAACTTTAAAAAAAAAATGGACTATAAAAAATGATAGTTAAATTTATTTTTATTTTATTTATTTTTTAAATGACTATTTATTTTGAGAGAGAGAGAGAGAGAGGAGAAGGAGGGAGTGCACACACAAGTTGGGGAGGAACAGAAAGAGTGGGAGAGAAAGAAAATCCCAAGCAGGCTATGCAGTTAGTGCAGAACCCAAACCTGAAGAGGGGCTCAAACTTACATGAGATCATGACCTGAGCCAAAATCAAGAGTCAGATGCTTAACTGACTGAGCCACCCATGCACCCCAAAATGATAGTTCAATTAAAATATGAAATAATGCCTCACATCAAATTTCCCAAACATAAATAATATATTTTTGACTGTTTATATGCTTTTAAAACAACATACAATGTATCACATAAATTATTCACTCAACTACCAAATGTTTCTTACTTTCACACTTCATTCTAGAGATTTCATTTGGATATTATGAATATAAAAATGAATCAAATATACGTCTTGCCTTCAAGCTGCTCAAAATCTAGTGAATAGACAGAAACTGAGCACACAGTTTCAGTACAAAATGTTAATAGTAGAAGACAACATAATGAGGTTTCTCAGCTCTCACAAAATCAGTGTAGATAAGGGCAAAAGTTGAAGAAGAAATTTTTCTCTAAAGATATTCTCATATACATTAGTCCTACTACCACAGGAAACTGAGAATGACCATTCATACTATAATCTTTCTGTTTCAAAAAACGAGTCTCAAGTGTCTAGAGAAAAAAACTCAAAAATCTAAAGGTTTACCAAAGAACTTTCTTCATTGAGATTACTTGACGAAAGTACAGTTTAACAATAAATTCGGTAAAAATTAATTTCCAAAACGTAATTAAAGCAAAATAGTTCTTGAAAGGAATATAAGGGATCGTTTATAATTTAATAATATCACAACACTAACAAGATGAATTCATGAATAGATTTCTTTTATTCCAGAAACCAAAATGTATGTAACAATGAGAAAAAAAAAAAAAAAACAACAACTATTCAAATCTACCTAAGCATTGTTGGCAAAGAAAAATACTACTGGGGATAAAATTTTAAATAGAAACTCACGGTTCATAAAACCACTCTACAGAACATAGATGTAAATGGACATTTTTTTTTTTTTTCTCAACAATCACAGGCAATGGAAGAACTAATTGAAAACCAATAAATTAAGTACAGTGCAGCAAGCGGTCTCTAGCTAACTCGGCCTATACATCAATAGGTCATTCTCAGTTAATTAAGTGAAGGCATAATCAGCTTAATTTATGTAGTTCACGGAAGTTAATGATATCATAGTACAGTACCTGATGTTTGGCCTGTCCCTATCACTTGTTTTATGTGTTCAGCTCACTTTGCTATTCCTCAGCATGGGCACTTTATTGCTGTAGCTCACCTCCAGTGTTTCTCTTCCTGCAGAAAATAGGAAATGTAACAGTGAAAAAAAATGAAAATCCAGAGATCACTTAACAAAAAGCTATTGTAAAAATGACCTGATGTTTCAGTGAACTAATTTGCATTATATGAATATAAACTGCAGCAATGAGCAGACATTTTCTGAAATAAAAGCAAATGTTAAAATAAGATTAATGTAAATGTATATAATATGCATATGAAGATATTTAAAAAATAAACCAGTGAAGGTACTTTTAAAATATTGTCCAATCATAAAATATAAGCATGAACTTAATAGATGTAAGAAATATCTGGTATATTTGTAAATTGTGTTGCATTTCAACACTAGATTTTACACTTAGTAGTAGTGAACTCTTCTTTCTCAGGGAGAGAGTTTCTTTCCACTGTCTCTGTAGCTCATCTTCTCTTTTCTGAAGCTGCAAGTTTACACACAAAGACAAACCACAATGTCAACCAATTGGACCTCACTTAAGGAACCTAGGAGATCGATTTGTAAAGCAAAGAATGAACAGGACCCTATTTCTGAAGTACGTTGCTCAAACTGCTCTTTCATTAAAAGATGCTCTTTCTTATTGATTTTGGCTTAAGTAATGAGAAAGCTTATCCAAAAATCTTTAGCATTTGGGCTCAAGTTAAGGAAATCAATACAGTCATTTCCCATTTGAACTGCATATGTGAGTTTTATGTACGAGAGACAAGACAAAGCCAAATTCAGATAGATCAATAGCATTGTCAATAGAACATGAAACTGACAAATGGTGTTTTTCAGCAATTAAAGTGAGCTGTAAACACACAAAGACTAATCAATTACAATGTTTTGTCATTAACAGTTTTTAATTGGTACAAAAGTTATGTGTGAATGTGACTCCCCAGGAATGAAGAGTAGAGAACCTACCTCAGCATCATGTGGGATTATTCCACTAATATATTTATAAATATACAGATAACTTTACATCGACAAAGTAAATTACGATCTTCATTAAGCAGATTGTATTTGAATATCAATCTACATAAGCTAGTGAAATATTTTATAAACACAGAAATAAATATATATATATATAGTAGCCTTTCTTTTGGGATATACTATTTTTAAACACCATTTTAAATTTTCAAAGAGTTTATAATATATTTTTGTATCTATGAATTGAACAAAATTAAAATAAGTTGAATTTAATTTGAAATAATAGCATTATTTCTATATTGGAAGAGTAACAGTAAAGTAAGCATTACATTTCTTTCATGGCTGTATTCTAAAAATACAAAAAAATTAAATATATATTTTGGTTATACATACAGGCTTCTAGAATTTATTCAAGTAACTTTTAAAAGTGTTTAACCTGCACTAAACTACTGAGCCATTGTGGTGTGCCATTATCCTAAAGTATTCAGGAAAATTGCAGTACAGATAGCCAAATATAATTCATAACATACTAAGATAGGCATATCATTAAAATGCAGATAAAACCTTTGTTTTTAATAAAAAATGATATAACAAAAGTAAAAGGTTAATTGAAAAGCAAAATAAACTACCAAATTTAGTAAGGCACATTACCTAGATTAACAGAAATCAATGAAATCATTAAAACAATTAATAACTTAGAGCTCCATTCAGACTAAGATAAACTCTGTGGCTATTAGAATGCGGATACAAGGCTACAGAGACATATCTATTCTGACTGGGTAATTTCCTCTCCTCTGTTACAGTTCAGTAATATATGCAACTGGCATTATACAGCCACCCATTTCTTCTTGTGAGACAAGAGATCTTTCATGCTTTTTTGCTATCTGTGCTAAGTGAATCATAAGAACCATAGTCTTTACAGAAGTGAACATATTTTCCCCCAGTGTTCAGGATATAAAATGGGCCATTAAAGCATCAATAGTATTAATCAAAGCCTCATCATTGTTCAGACTCTTTCCTGCATAGAAAATGTGCAGAGTTCTACCCATCCTCCAATCATAAACAGGAACATATATACTGCAAGCCAGGCACAGATATCTTTCCAATTAACTATGAGGGGACACTTAAAGTCAGCATGTACTTCTCTGAAGATAATATTCTGGTAAGTAACTGAAAATAAGCAAACATATCACTTCATGAGTTACAAAACCAGAACAAAAGTTACAATTCTAAATGCTTTTTACCTGATGCATTTTTTTTAAAAGAAGTGAAATTCTAGAACCAGAACAGAAATGTAAGGTAATGCTATGAAAGAGAAAAGGATGCTTGAGTTTTAACTCCATACCAAAGCTCTAGCCTTGCTGTAAAGAAAGTTCATACCTTAAGGCTTACAAAACAACAAACACAGATGATGTTTAAACCTGTTTCAAGGCTCCATTACCACCCCCCTCAAATTTCAGACTCAATGATCACATACTATTTTTGTCTTTTTTCACTGAGACTAAAACCAGAAGTATACTGGTGCTCCCTAATAGTAATATGTCTTTAGAATAATTCATTGTCCTAGATAAAAACCTCTGTATTCAATAGGGAAAAAAATATGACCTCATTAAAAAAGAGCACATTTTGTTAATTACTTTAATCTCTAGCTATGGAAATGCAAATTATTGGTAAATGTTTAAGAAATAATATACAAGTGACTAAAAGCTAAAAACGAGTTTTTGAAAGGGATTCTCATGAACAGTACTACAGAAGGCTGTTCTACATAAATATCTAAGAAACTACTTTAGCAATTTTTAAACATCAATAAACTAGAAAATAGTATACTAAAAGAGAATTCATTCTACATTCTGTCTTCTAAGGAAACAGATATCCCAGTGCTAAAGAGGTACCATTGGGGCACCTGGGTAACTCAGTGGGTTGAGTGTCTGACTCTGGCTCAGGTCATGATCTCATGGTTCATGGGTTCAAGTCCTATGTAACGGTCTGTGTGGACAGTGTAGAGCCAGCTTGGGATTCTCTCTCTCTCTCTCTCTGTCCTTCCCTTGCTCATACTCTCTCCTCTCAAAATAAATATAAATAAAAAAACATCAAAAAGGAGGTAGCATGATTCATATAGACAATATATATTAGACAAAATCAAACAACAACAACAGATGCAAATTTAATGAATAGTTAAACTGAATTTCAGGGGTCTCTGGGCTCAGATAGACCTTGGTTTGACACTGTTCTTCCGGTTTTTTTGCTGTGGTGAGACACGGGGCACATTTTAATTTTTCTCTGAGTTTCCTTATCTGTAAAAAGAAGAGAAAATAAAAGAGCATCCTCATGTTGTAAAGATTAGATCAGATGATGTATGTTATCCTTGGCCCCACACATATCAGGCCCGTACTAAGTGTTTCACAACCAAATGAATTAATTAGATTACTAATTAATAAACGTTAGTGTTATTATAATGCAGACTTCGAAAATATTGAGGTTTCAAAATATATTGCCGGTCAAGTCATTTTATACAAATGTAATTCAGGTTCTCTCTCTGTAAACTCCTAAGATTCTCTGTTATCTCTCCATAAAAGTACTTCCACTATTCGATAATTACCTTTTAATTTGTCCCCTACATTATACACTGGAAATTTTTGGGATAGGATCCATATTTTACTCCTTTTTTGTATATCTGACATGACAAGTACTTCAGTAAATGTTGATTGCATTAGTAAATGAATTAATGTTATGCTTGAGAGTGAATTATTTAAGGGCTTATTATATATTACATACTCTGCAAAGCACTTTATATTAATTATTTCATTTTATTCTCAAAAAGAACACTCTAAATATGATTGCTCTTCCAATATTCTAGATGTGTAAACAGATGAGAGATTAGGTAACAGCCAAAATCACACAGACGATAAATGGTGGTGGTTCCAAGTTACCTCGATCATTGCGTTAATTGCGTTGGTCCAGCTGACTTCTCATTTTCACAGGTTCAGAAACTGTATATAATCAATTTTCCAAGAAAGATCAGGTCCTGGTTTACTAACGCAATGTAACTAAATGTTTTAAGAGACCAAAGCTTAAGGCAGACTACTAACTTATTAATTTCTAATTCAGTATAAAAATGCTAGTAGGTCAAAATATTATTTTCTGTGTTTCCTGATATCACCTTTGAAAGACTACATGAGCTATCAAATTGTTCATCCTTCCAGCAAATCTTATTGGCCACTCATTATATAATAGGTGTAGAAGATAAAGCAATAAACTAGATGGGGAAAAAAATCAGGCTTCTATGTTCTAGCTAATTCTTATTTGACACTTACTATGTACAAGCACTAAGCACTTTACATTCATTAATTAACATAATCTTCATAACAGCTCTATGAAACTATTACCATTATTACCCTAATTTTGCCAATGTGGACATAAAAGAGGTTAAAGCATAAGGTTAAAGCTTTTAAGAGCTGCACTCACAGTTTGGACCAGGTTTTCTGTACAATGAACTTGCACTCTAGGCAAGGGAGCTGTGTGTGAGGATCACGTTGCTCAGCCTGATGGGATGCTAAGGGCAATGCTACAGAGCCCTGGCTGCCATGAGCATCCAGCACCGGTTCCTTTCCCCAGGGCCTCCTGTTCCCTGAGTGATGCTACAGATACACTGATACACACTTACTTTCTAGTCTTCCTTTATGTTCATCCATCAAAAGCACCATTACCTCATGTCTCCTAGGTGTAATACAATTAAGTCAGTTACATTCCCTTCATATGAATTGCTGGTTGAAATTAAGAGACAGCTTACTTGTGCATATTTCCTAGCGTAGATGATCTATATTATGCTTTGTTTTAAAATCTAGATGGTTCTCAATTTTATACTTTAGGGGTGTAGAGGTTCCTAGTCTCTGACTACAGCTATTGAAAAAACTGAACCAGAAATAAGCTTTTATGTTATTAAATAATTCTTGTATCAGGAGATCAACAGCACATTGTTAATACATGTACCAGTGAGGACCTTGAAATGTTTTCTTTACAGACTTTTGCTGAGTAATATTTTAAATATAATATATATTATATGAATATGACATAGTTATTTCTATTTTATTATCTATAATATATTTAAATACCATTTCACCAATACATGCATCTTGTATTCTACAGTGAAATAACACCCTCTTGTTTTTCAGTCTTCCCCAAAAGCATACCTCCTACATAGTAGCAGTGGCATTGTACCAGAATTGAAAAGTTGAAATCAAAGTTTTAAGTAGCATCCAAGATTGGCTGCAAACAAAACTTGAAGATTTCCCCTTTAGAAAATTCCTTAAATATGTGTTTATATTTATTTTCTCGTTTGGTTGCTTCATGTGTCTCTTTTTCTTCTTTTTTTTTCTTAACATATGTGAGTCCTATTCAATTTCTCTCTCGGTACTCCACTAACACTTCCTCTCAATTCTAACTTAATCTCCTCTCTTCTTTCCCATTAACCTTTAATATACACACTTGCTATCTCCTCTTTACTTCCTATCTGGCCCATTCATCTCTCATTTCTTTCCTAATATAATAGAAGTGAGAAAGGAAACTCAATACTCTATAACACAAATACAGAAATTAAGGTCTCAAAGATTAGAAACAGGATAACTCAACTGTACCACTTGAATATAAACATATTTACATATCTTTTTCTCACATGTTTTTTCATCTTGCTTTTCTAAACCAATAGTTTCAGGCGGAAAAAAAAGGCATAAAAATTTTTAATCCCTCTTTGCTCCATCAACTGCAATTTCTCTAAATAGCATTTGAAATAACCTGTTCAAAGGATTAAGAGCATCTGGTACTTATCTTTGTATCTCTGCTACCAGGCAGACTGACTGCTACAGAACAGGCCCTCAATGAGTATTTGATGAACAGAACTGAAATAAGGAAACTGCAGACATGATAGGAAAATACATAGGAAAATTAAAATAGAAACATGCTCACCAATAGCTGTAGTGAAGATTGTGGAGATGGAGGAGGTAGGCAATCGGTACTCACAACTTGGTGCAACTCTTGAACCTCTCATTCTTCTCTCTGATTTTCCCTTCCCTTCTCTCCTTGGCCATTTATCCAAAGGTTCAAGCAGCTGTTTGAGGATTAGGGTTAAGGTTATACCTAGAGGTTCAAAGACTCAAATAGCTGATGCCCTATTAAGTTGCTTGGTTTTGATCTCTAAATAAATGGTAAACCAAATTCAACACTAGGCTAAAAGGAAAACCTAGATGTAAACCTTCCTTTAATGGTCTTGCTTTTCTTCCCTTCCTATATCTCTGTAATACTCAAATTTAAGGTACATTGTCTGAATTAAATCTTCAAATACGCTCAATACAACTTGAACTCATGGATTATCACAAGCACAAATAACCTTACATATCATGGAGAACGATGATTTTCAAAATTAATTCTCCCAATGACTCCTTTCAGGGTGTTCAAGTTTCCATCCCACTCCTCAAACTTTTACCAGAGAGGATCTGATTTACTTTGTGCATTTCACTCCAGTGTACATCTGTTTGGAGAAAGGAATTCGTTGTTACCTATACTCAGGCATCAACAGACCTAACCCAATTCCATCATCTAAAAATGCATAAAATCCAGAACTAGAAAAGTTAATATCCAACATGTTCAAAAATAAGCTGGTGGCAAAATTAGGATTTGAACCACTAAAATTGCCACTTACGTCTTTCATCTGTCAGGACTATTTTTACTCCTGGTCTACTCTATTTGAAAATGTAGAATGGCTGATAGAAAAATTATATTGTGCTACCTAGCAAACAAATGCTCTACTATTAATTTTTACTGTATTCACGGTGAAACTTATTCTGAAACTCCATTCAACCAATTCCAGAATTAATATATAGTGAAAAAGAAGATTGTGTGACACAATAATACGTCTTACTCAGTTAACAAATGAATTCACTTCGGACTAGAGAATGGGGACCTGTATGTGACACAATGAAGGCTGATTCCAGGGGCAGACAATACTCCAAAAGGTACCAAACTAAGATTGATGTGGTGAATGACACAAAGTCTGGAAAGACTCTCAGAGTTAACTCAAGTTTGAAATAGATTGGAGAATTCAGGGGAAATACTTAAAGCAAAGAGTCTTCATACTTGTCCACCAATAAAGTGTTCTGAGTCAAAGATCTGTAGTGTAGATAGGTCCTTGAGCATTACAAGAGGTGTGGGCTTTCTAGAAGTCTTACATCTTCAAGATGTAATTAATTGTTCTAATCCCTAAGTCATTTCACCTGACTGCTTAAGGAGTCTTTTTCTTTTTTTTACTAACCACTGTAACATCAATCACTTTCATTCTTTTTTTATTCTTATCTGATAAAAAAAAAGTTTCGAATTCCTTTACTTGCCAACACAGTCCCAATATTTATGAAAGTTTGATGTTAGTGTGAGAATTTAATCAGTTATAAGAAACTTTTCTATTTATGTGTATATATATGTGTTGCTCCTATTTCTGCTTCTATGTTTTGTTTTGTTCTTGATATTCTATTCCTTTCCCCAGAGAAATTTCCATCTTCTACAAGATCAAGACCTTCATACATAAATTATATATAAATAAAGTTCAAAATTCAGTGTAAGAGGCACTCATCTTACTCATTGTAAGATTCAGACTAATATTCCACAAACTATGTGGAAGATAAAGCACTTTGGGCTGGAACACAGTTTAGTTACATTGGAAAGGGTTATCGTCAATCTCTCAATGAGGAATTTATTCAATATATCATGTATAAGGAATTTATTCAATATATCATGTATAAATATTGTGGTAAACTCCAAACAATTCTCAAAAGAGAGTGAAAATTCAGTTATTCTCAGAGTAAATTTTTGTCTCATTTAAAAAGTGTAAAAATAAAAAAAACGGGGTGCTTGGATGGCTCAGTCAGTAAGATATGGTAGCTGACTGCTGATTTTGCCTAGGCCATGATCTCATGATTCGTGAGTTTGAGCCTCATGTGGGGCTCAGCACTGACCTGCTTGGGATTCTCTCAGTCTCCCTCTCACCCTGCCCTTCCCCAGCTTGTGCTCCCTCTCTCTTTCAAAATAAATAAACTTTTAAAATAAATAAATAGACAAACAAACAAACATACTTAAATATTGTAAAGATAGCCACTTGGCTAAGCCTGTTTTTCATGCTCATAAGGATAATCAAGAAAAAAGATATGAAATAGCCCATTTATAAAGGAATTGCTGAATATTCTAGTAATAGGATAGCATAAGACAAATGGTGAGGAAGTAGAAAAAATTCATTGGTTGTTTTAAATCCCAATGGACAAGAGTATCAGAAGCTCTCTCAATTTCCAATTTAACCAATTCTCTTTCAAGATCTCCACTTTCCTAGGAAAATATCTTCACTTTATCAAATTATTTCTTCTGTACACTCCTTTCCAACTGAAAGCTAGAGCCTATATTTACATTTTTTTGTCTCAAATTTTCTCAACTCTTTCTCCTAAAACCAAGATAACCTACAAAAGAGATTAATAAAGTATGTTTTCTAGAAAAACTCCAAGTAAAAAGCTAATAAATAATGACCATCAATTTCAAAACCATACTTATTAAAAGTGAAATTCCAAAAATTTCCTTTTCTTTCTTCTCCCAGCTCTCTGAAGTGGAGGAAGGATTCCAAAAATATTAAGGAAGATATAATTGATTAGATGTGGAGTCCAAAGAGAGAATTGCTTAGGATTATTCTCAAATGTCTGCCTTAAATAATTGGATGAATAAAATTTCCATCAAGAATGAAGACCAATGGCATTCTGATTAGATTTCCATTCTGGAGAAGTCAAAGCTATAGGACACAGATCAGTGGTTGATAAGGATTAGGGATGGAGAAGAGGTTTAATACAAAGAGCAGCATGGGGGAATTTTTAGTAATGATAAAACTATTTGGTATATTGACTGTGGTTGTTTTTACGTGGTTCTTTGAAATGGTCAAAACTTAAACAACTATACAAAGCAGCCAATTTTACTATAGTTAAAATAAAAGGTAAATAAAAATAATTGGTGCTTACTGATAAATTGTTTTAAAAGTATATCTTAAGAATTACATCTGTCAGGGGGTACCTGCGTGGCTCAGTTAAGTGTCCAACTTCGGCTCAGGTCATGATCTCACAGTTCATGAGTTTGAGCCCCATATTGGGCTTTGTGTTGACAGCTCTTGGAGTCCAGAACCTGCTTTAGATTCTGTGTCTCCCTCTCTCTATCCCTCCCCTGCTTGCACCTTATCTCTCTCTCTCTCCCTCTCTCTCAAAAATAAGTAAACATTAAAAAAATTTTAATTGAAAAAAAAGAATTACATATGTCAGAACGTAATATGTGAAAATTAATGGAACACTAATTAGATATTAGAGTAGAGAATGGAATATAAGATTGTTGCAGAGTAAAACTAAGACTAAAGTAACTATTAAACTAAAAATTAGTGACAAAAAGTAAAGATGACACCACCTAACACATCCACAGGTATGTTATGTTTGAAAATTACTTCTGAATTTCTAATAACCATATCAAAAAGTCATTTTTCAGACAGTGGTTGGCTTCAGTTGCTTTTGCTCTACTTATTGATTAGCAGAATTCTTACTGCTGAATGTAGAAACAGGTGAACAAGAGGTGCAACACAAGGCAGACAACTCAGACAACTTTGATGGGTCACCATCACAGCCTTCCATTCCTTAATTTTGTAATGTCAGGACATATGGCATCATGCCACTTTATATCCCAATGGGCCTGGGATAAATCCCTATTCAGCTGTGGCCCATGTCTCTTCTGACTGATTCTCCTAACCCTATCCATCTCCTAAAATTCAACCTTTTGGACCTGAGGGTCAATCATCAGCAAACTACTTTTATTTTTTTTTAAATATTTTTATTTATTTCTAGGAGAGAGAGACACAGAGTGAGCAGGGGAGGGTCAGAGAGAGAGGGAGACACAGACTCTGAAATAGGCTCCAGGCTCTGAGCTGGCAGTCAGCACAGAGCCCGACGCGGGGCTCGAACCCACGAACCGCGAGATCATGACCCAAGCGAAAGTCGGAGGCTTATCCGACTAAGCCACCCAGGTGCCCCAGCAAATTACTTTTAAAGTTCATATGAAACTACTTTCATGAAAAATCCCTTCTCTTACTTGTTTCAACTGAAACTTGCTCTCTCGTGGCACTGCTTCTAAAGTTATTCAAGTAGAGGCTCTTTTCCATACCCTTTCTGCCTCAGTGCCTAGAAATGAAGTAGATGTCTTTTTTGTTCCTCATTGCTGCTTAGACCACTATTGCTACATTCTGTAGTGATCTAATCCTTCCCAATGAACTCCCCTCTTTTTCTGAGAAGTAAGTCCCTGACTCAATGATTCCAATTCCAGACTTGAACATCTTGGCAATTTCAAGTTCCACATGGAAGTCAATACCTTGATCTTTAAATACTTGATCACATTTATCCAATGATCTTGTTCTCCACCCCATGGCAGCTATTCAGTACCAAGGTCACACCCTTGACCTTGACATTTTCAATAACAACTTTGCATCTCATTTAATACACCTCCTTTCTGCTCTCATTTTTATCTTTCTAGCCCATTCCTTCTGACTCCCATCTTTAACAAATCGAACTTCATCAGAACTTTTTAAAATTTTTTAAAAAATTTATTTCTGAGAGAGAGAGAGAAAGTGTGAGCAGAGGAGGGTCAAAGAGAAAGACACAGAATCCGAAGCAGTCTCCAGGCTCTGAGCTAGCTGTCAGCAAAGAGCCTGACTTGGGGCTTGAACCCACGAACCATGAGATCATGACCTGAGTCGATGTCGGACGCCCAACGGACTGAGCCACCCAGGCACCCCCATCAGAACTTTCAAATCATTTATCCTAGCAATTTGTCATTGCTCTTCAGTACCCTCATGTCTTTTCTTCACTATGCACCTTAAATTTATGGTAAATAATTATAATAAACCTTTCTCTTAATTCCTCACACTTGCTTGGCAGAAAACAAAACAAAACAAAACAAACAAACAAACAAAAAAACCCCACAAAAATCCTTGGTTAAATCCAACTTTCCACCAATTCTATCCCAGTACTCCTGAAACTGAACTTGGCTGGA